AAAAAAAATAAAAGGATACTGAAGAGGTATCGTTCCCACCAATCAAGCATGTAAAGCCCGAACGTGACATTGTAAAGGTAGATTTTGCGTTGAACCCAGTTCATATTCTGATCGGATCCTACGATGATAAGGGAACAGATCACAAAACCTGGATCTCGATTGGTCGGAAAATAACCGATCCAAAGTTCGGAAAATTACCCGGTAAGTAAATCCGACAGAGAACGTGATACAGATAATATAACGAATTGAAGGTGTCGAAAGAGAGAAAAAACAAAATTGGACGGAGACGTCAAAGCTGGAGAAGTCTGTGTACGGAATAATCTCTCATTAAAACCACGGTTTCTTGAGACCGGTTTAGCCGTATTACCGGTTATTTGATTCCGGTTAGTGGAATTTTTACCTGGTTTGCAATTTTGCATTCCCAAATTTGGAGTATAAATATATTCTCTAAATCCACGCGCCGGTGTGCGTTGTAAGAAGACCAAACGATGTTAACGACGAGCATCGTCGGAGCTCCGGTGATAATTGCTCGGTTTAGGCGGATTCCGGCGAGAATAAGGTGCTTCTCCGCCACCGAAAATTCCGAACTTCTTCGTTCCCAGCTCGATCGGCTTCACGCGGAGGCTGAGTCCACTCGTGCCAAAGGTCGAAATCTTGATTTGCTATTCTTCGTCTCAATTGGAATCGAGTACAGTGAATCAATCTTCGTTTGCTTGCTTCAGATGCCCAAACCAATCATCTCAATACTCTTTTTGCATTTTGGGAATTAAGAATGAAAGAAAGCAAATCCATTTTTCAACCATATGATGAGTCTTTACTCTGTGATGTGAAATTCTTTAGACTGATTTTTGAGTTTTGGGAAAGATGATATGGGTTTAAGCAAGGTTTTTCTTTTTGTTAATTCAGTGATTGATATCAATTTTGGTTTTTGTTGGTGTTGGTCCAGCAAATAGTAATAGGTTGAGACTTTTGAGATTATCCGAGGCTGCAGAGAATCTACGGAAACAAGCAGCTGTAAATGTTCAGACTGGGAAAGAGGATGATGCAAGAGAGTTACTTCTTCAGAAGAAGAAAGTTATGCAAGCTCTGGACAAGGCAAAAGCTCGTATCGAGTTGCTAGATACGCTTTCTTCAAAACTTAACGAGGTACTTTGAAATCCTAGTTCACTTTGAAATTCGTGTGTAATTCAAAAACGATAAGAAATGCTATAGTTTTGGTTGTTCTTTTGTTTCCAATTGTTCGAGAAGCTTGGTTTGGTTTTCAGGCAATATCTGTCAAGGAAACACAGCTGATAGGGAATATATCATTGGATCTCGAAGTAGATAGTGAGAATAGTTCAGGTGGAATTCACATTGTATCGCCAAAGCCCAAATCTACTGAAGACAAGCATGAAAATGACCAGACTCGCTTGGATTCTCAGGAAATTCAACTTGTTGAAAAGAACTTTGAGGAATACCAATCGACTCTCGATATTGATAACCATGTGCTGCAAGATGCTTTAGCTGGTAGCATCGTCAAAGAAGCGTCTTCTTATGAATCTTTCTTGGAAAATCTAGACCAGAAACTTAGCAGAATTGAAGCTGAACTAGTCACTGTTGTAAATGTTGCGACCTTGGTGCTTAATCATGAAGATAAACCCAAGAATCTAAAGGTCCAACAGACAGCAGAGATTCTTGAGGAGATTCGCTGTGTGAGAGGAAGGTAATGCCTTTAAAACATCCCTAAGCTTTACTTCTAATCACTGCAGTTTTTTACTTGTTACGTGAAGTTTTTTTTTTTTTTGTTTGTGTAGAATTGCTAATATCCTTTGCAAAGAAGCAAACATCAGTTAGTACTTCAAGCTCCTTCTTTGAGGTACATATCAAGATCTGAGCTTCGATTTCAGTGTAAGAGAACGAGGCGAAACCAGCACAAGTAAACAAAAGAAATGAAACCAATCTTGGCATGAAGAGTTTTTAGCATTTCTATAATCATTCTGTTTAGACATGTAGATAGTCCTTTCCTTGGTGTGAATATAAATACCTTTCAAGTTGGTACATTAAATTTTGTTGATGATATAAAGTGGAATATGGCCGTCCACGTTAATGTTGTGATATGGGATGTTTATTATTTGATGCGAGATATATACAACTTAAGACCCATAAACATTCATGAGATATCTTCTTACGTAAAGAATATACTACTATCATATGTTTGTGCATTTAATGTCAACTATGAAAATCATTTCATTTGTTCTAGTAACAAAATTGATGGCATTACAGCGACAGGTTGAGTTATAGACCACACAAATCAAGAAACAAATTTAATATATAAGCAAACATTTGCAATATATCAATAATCTCAGGGAAATTAGAAGAAGGTAAGAAATTGAAAATGATGCCAAACTGCCAAGAAATCAACCATATAAAATCAAACATCTAAGTCCTGAAACAAAAATATTTCACTTTT